CAACAACAAAGAAAAACCTCTTGTATCCATGTCTTGGACATCTTCTTAGCATAGCATCATCTTATATGGTCATATATACATAGCTGTTAGGCTATTCTGCTCATCTGCTAAGATTATCTTAGACATATACTAATTATTGCAAATAAGGGAAACCATGGAACCTATTTTTCTTTGGGTCTGGTTTACTGTGTTCTCTTATAAACAATATAAACATTTGAAATCCATGAACATATTTCTTTTGATTTACTGGTGTCTTCTTCATTTTCTTTTATCAGTGTTTATTGTTTTCATTGTACTTGATATTGCTTTCATTTACACTTCCTTGGGTGATTTTTAATTGTTATTTTGTGTCTTGCAATTTGCCGGATTCATTTAATTGTAACAAGATTTTTGGAAGAGTCCTTAAGGTCTTCTATATAGGAGATTATGTCATCTGCAAACAGTAACAATTTAAATTCTTCCTTTCTCATTCATGACTTCTCTGGTACTTTGTTTAATAGCAATGTGGAGAGTAAACATTCTTGACATTGTTAAATCTTAAAGAAAAATCTTTCAGATTTTGAATAGTCAATATGATGGGTTTGCATATGTATTTTTATTGAAGTATGTTTCTTCTGTATCAGTTTTAGACATTTATCACGAGTGAAAGTTGAATTGTGTCAGAATTTTTTCTTCATAGATTTAAATGATCATATGGGAAGTTAAATTTTGATTTAAAGAAGAGGATTTATTATAAAGTAAGCCCCAAGGGTTGACAATGTAGGTCACGGTAGAGGACATGTTCCATATGTAAGAAATCCTAGGTTTATTGTCTAGCATGAAATGAATAAATGAACAAATAAATAAATACAAATGCAACTCAGACTTGTGTTATAGGCTAGAAAGAAGCCTAATACTTGGAATGAATGCATGTATAAGAAATTTAAAAAACCAAAACCAGTTGGTACTGAGAATATGTTTAATGAGAAAGGATGTTATCTCTACAATTCTATATGTAGGATGTTAGGAGTACAGAGCAGTAGGATTTGGGACAGGAGAGGAAAGGATGAATTGGAAGGATGCCACAGCCATGTCAGTCTGTGGGGTTGGATTTTAAATGGTGAGGAGGTTGGTGTGTTCTTCCTGTGTTTGTGAGAAGCAGCCCAGACACATGGCTCAATAATGGTCATGGAACTCTATCAGATCATAGTAGAAACAAGAAGTGCAGGTGATTGTTTAAGGAGTAAATACAATAGGCAATACAGAATAGCTGGGAGAAGACATACCACAAACTGTAATTTAGAGTATAGAAAAAGATCTCCAAAACTACAAGACCAAGGCTAAGACAGTTTAAAAGAAGGAAAAAAGGATCCATAGTGATGCAAGCATATCAGTGAAAGAAAACTGAAAATTTTCACTTTTAATTTGGTCAAGAGGACAGGAATGGAGTAGGCAAGGTATGTACCAAAATGTAGAATAAAATTGCTATCATAGATGATAAAAACAGGATCTTAACTACTTAAAGCAGACTAAAGTACCGGAATATGTTTTCTCCTTGAGTTGATGTTAGCTGTTTCCATGTAGAAAAATTAGTCAATGAACATATTTATAATTGTAGCCTCTCTCCCCATCCTAAGCAATTTAAATAGCAACTCCTTCTAGGAAGTGTGAAAATTCTGTTGAAAGTCTTGTTCTTCAAACTTAGTGCACTCCGTGATGAAGGATACTTCTGCAAACACTTCTGCAAAGTGCACTGTTTTATAAACATACAGTCATGATAAGGCAAAGATACACAGAAGAAATTTCCTATCAAAATATTAACTTTACCTAGAATATTGAAATATCTCTCCCGGTCTTTATCAGGGAATAGTCTTTTGTGCTCACTTGAATCAACATTAATGGAGGCATCACACAACATTACTGAGTGCAAAGGAAAATAATTACATTCAGTTGTTTTCAAACCGATGTAGATTCCTCATATGTTTGTAATTCATTTATTTTACTAACTGAATAACATATAAGACTTAAATATTGAATATTTTATATAAGAGTTAATATTGCTGGATCAGCCACAACTTCATGGACTCCAGGAGCTTCATATTGAGCTCTAAGTTATATGTGGAGGAGCCAGACAAACTCTTTGGATCTTTTCTAGGGAATTATTTGATTTGGTGGCCTCTTGGCCTCAGGCAAAGTTTATCTCAAAGTGAGTGGCAAGGAATATCATTCAGTTGTTGTGCTGCCTTGATAAGCCAAATGGAGCCCAAACTGATACTATTTTTTTTAATACTAAATTCTAGGTTTATATTTCTCTGGATAAATCAATCCACATCAGTTTTGCTTCAGGTAGTACATTGGCAATGAAAGATGAATAGAACTCCTATGTCCATTAATCTCTCCTGGCTCTATGGAAAAGAGATTACAGCTAAGGCGATAAGATTTCTCACATAATCTTTGAAACTCATCGTGAAACCACTCTTACTCTTCCTTTGGGTATGTTGTCGTGAAGGATTTCCAGAAGATTTTGCCTCTAGTCTTTGGATGAGTTGGAGACAGTCATTTAAGAGGCTCCTCAAATTGAGGCCACCAGATGTTTTTTCCCCCCACAGTACATCGAAGAAACATCTTTGAATATTCTGCATACATTTACATGGATGTCAAGAGTCCCTCACTCCAATTATGTAAAATAAAATTAATTAGTGAAACCCACTGCAAAGCACATATTTAAACTCAGTGTTCAAGTCAGTAAAAGCCTAGAAAGACTTCGCATGTCTTCACAACAAGTAGCTTGATTTCTTCTGGGAATAAGAGAGTGCGGCAGAGGTACCTCATCAGGTAAACTGAGGTGGAGTGTAGTAGATGCTCAGATACAGGGCATTAGATTTGAAGCTGCTCTGTCCTGAGCTCCTGTGTTGTATCTTCTTTCCTGGTGAAAATTGTAACTGTACATATGCGTACACAGTGCACAGACGTTCTTGTTCTTGTGCTCCGGTGAGGACTGAGTGGCACTCCTTGTCCTTGGATTTCTTCTCTCAGCTTTGTAGTAGGAGAGGCTGTGATCTTCCTGGTATTTTCATAGCCACCCATGCCTGAGAGAACTCCTTTCCTCTTCTGATATCTGTAGTTTATCCTAACAGCTGTTAGTAGCCCCATGACCAACACTATATACTTTATACTTCATATTCAAATAGTGTTGCTCAGGTGATCTTGGTCAAGTTATTATATACTTTGAGGCTAGAGTTTCTTATGGATGCATAAAAAGACCAGCTGTCCCCTTTCTTGCATCTATTGTAAAGATTAATGTATCACTGACATACATTCCAAACTGAAATATATGTCCAAAAATACTTAAAAGAGAAGTCTCTCTTTAAGACATTAGCCCATTTATTTTTTTCTTCGTGGGTTTATTTTTAAGACTTTAATTTTTTGAGCTCTAAGTATATTTTGGATATTAGACCCTTGTTGGATGTATAGCTGGTGAAAAATCTTCTCCTTTCTGTGGACTCTCTATTTACCTTGTTAGCTATGTCCTTTGCCATGCAGAAACTTTCAAGTTTGATGAAATCCTATTCATCCAAGTTTTCTTTGATTTGTTATGATTCTGGATCTTAGAAAGTTTCCTCTTGTGCCTAGGAGCCATAGTGTTTCCTCTACACTTTCATGTAATTCGTTCATGGTTTCTGGCCTTACCTTATATTGGTGTCTTGGATCAGTTTGAATTGATCCTGGTGCAAGGTTATCTATAAGATCTAGTTTCAATTTTCTGCATGTGGATAGCGAATTTGGCCAGAACCACTTGTTAAAGAGGCTGTCTTTCTTTCAATCTATGTTTTTGGCTCCCTTATCAAATATTGGATGGCTATGGTTAATCAAGTGGGAAGTCTCACTGATGACTCAGATTCACCAGATACCAGTTGTCTTGACAACATCTCCTCTCATTTTATATTTCACTTATTTGTTGTTTTTCATCTAAGGGCTGACATAGCAGGCCTTCCTTCAATAACGGTTGAAGTATGTAAGGTGGTAGCAATGATCACAAGGAGGTGACATATCTACAAGCATGTGAATGATTGACTGAGAAAGGTGGTAATCTAGATTCTCTTCTCCCTCTTCAGTGCACCTCAATGAAGAATCTACTTCAGAGTAGCTGGGAGACTTTAGTCAATCACAACCCTCATGAGAAAAGATTAAACTCCATGTAGAAAGGTTGTCTCCATCCTTTCTGACATGGATAAAATTGACTTTGATTCAGGACTACTGTTGGTCACAGATGTGTGTGAATGTCATATTAAAGCAATACAAGAGAACCAGGCACTGGTAGTTCATATCTGTATTCCTAGCTACTGAGGAGACTGACATATGAAGATTGAGTTTCAAAGCCAACCTGGGCAGGAAAGTCTGTGAGACTTTCCCATTAACCAGCCAAAAGCTGGAAAATGTAGTGTTAGCCTTGAGCAAAAATAGTAAGGGACAGCACCTGGGCTCTGAGTTCAAGCCCAGTGCTGGTAAAGAAATAAAGCACTGGAGAAAACTCTGGAGAGAATCTGATATTTCATCTGAATTAGTTAGAATTATTCAGGCATAAACTGCTTAAATTAGAGGTAGTTCTGGGATATATGTACAGATATATGTGTGTAGTTATAGCTTAGAATAGTTTCCTTAGCATGCATATATCTCGAGAAGCAAGTTATTTTACCCCAGAAGTCCAACACCAGTCATTAAGAAACTACTCATGAAAAACTAGTTACAACATGAGAACCTAATTAATGACTACTAAATAATCAGATTCAGGGGAAGAAATTGAGCTTATATTAATATTAAATTAATCTTATCCTTTCAAAATGTCTATGTAAACATGTTTTTACATACACTAGAACCACAGTATGATCTTCAGTTCCACAAATATAAGTGAAAGACCCAAAGTTTTGATGAAGATGAAGAGGGATTAGGTGGTGAGTGAAACTCTCTCTTTCTTTTCCCAGACTGCGGTTTTGTAACTGTTTGTCAAAGTTAAGTTCAGCATGCTGAAAAGGAAGCAGAGTTCCAGGGTGGAGGCCCAGCCAGTCACTGACTTTGGTCCCGATGAGTCTCTGTCTGACAATGCTGACATACTCTGGATCAACAAGCCAGTAAGTTTCCTTGTTGAAGTGTGGGGAAGCACACCATGCTGCTATCAGGGAAATATGGTTCATAAATTCAGAAACTCGTGGACCTTTGACTTTGAACTCTCTGTATTTGAGCCCCCAGAGAATATGAATGAGTCTTTGAGTCTGGAAGTTGGAAACAATTCAAATGCAAGGAGGATGTGCCACTGTGTGTGTTACATGGGAAGGTCTGTGGTCGGGCTCCTGCCTACCAATGCTGAGGAAACACTGTCCTCAAAGTCGCATTGTGGAGATAATTCCACTCCTCAGGCTGATGGGTGATACGCCAGTTATTCATAACCAACCTCTTTTCTTTATTGCCCTACCATGCCCATGAGTCTGTGAGATGCTAAACGCTTGTGTAGAATTAAACACCTCCCCAGCTGCAAGAAGCTTTGTGTCAAAGTAAAAGCTAATGACATTTTGGGACAGTGTATCTGCACAGTGGTGTCATTTTTATCAGCTGACTTAAGTCAGTGAGCTACCATACCAGCTACCATGACGTTGTAAGACAGCGCAGCCACTAGAACTAAGCTGGGGTCATGTTATCCTTCTCCTTCATAATTGCTGCAAGATCTCTTTTGTCTTCATTGCAAACGAAAATGTATTGGCATTTCAGTTCTCTATGCACAGACTCCATCTAGCCCAGAGCCACCCTTTCTTGTGTCTCCTTACCACCCAAGAGGGTTTCAGCAGCCAGTTCCTGCTTCTGTCTGATTTGGCCATATTAGTTCTATGCTTATGCTGTTCCCTGGCTCTCAGAACCCTGTCCCTGCTCCTTTGATGAGTAAAATCCTCCTTACTAATTAGAGCTGTCCAGAATTTCCAGACTGCTCCTGATTTTTTCTTGTGACAAAGTGTGACCTCTTCTCTTTCTAGCTATCCTATTCTAAACTTGGATATCAATATAAATGTATACTGTATATAAATATAAATACATTGAGCTTTTTGTATCCAGAAGTTCTGCATCCACAAGTTCAAACACAGATTAAAAATCTTAAAATGCATATGTAATAAACATGAGCAGATCTTTATCTTGTCATTATTCCAGAAATAAATCTGTATAACTGATATTACACAGCATTTAAGTAGTATTAAGTACTAGAAATCAGCTAGAGATGATGTCAAGTATACAAGAGGATGTAGATAAGTTCAATGAAATAGTATCCCATTTTATATAATATATTTGAATATCCTTGGACTTTGATATCTGAAGAAGGTATCTTAGAAGCATTCCCCTACAGAAGCTGATAGATAATTGTATATAAAAAAGTACATGCTTCTTTTTGGTACTGCAAAATAATTATGTATCAGACAATATTACTGCCATCTGTAAGTTCTCAGAGTCTAGTACCTTGGATGAGCGGAGATCATCCCTTCCTGTTTAGAGAATTGAATGGATGAAAAAGAAACCTCTTGTTAATTTTTGCTTAATGTCTTCTCTATTGAGAAATTTCTGTCTGAAGACAAAATTATAGATTTGGCATCATAGATGCTAACTGAAATTATTAATGCCTACTTGTAATTCTTTAAACTCAAAGCAGTTTATTTATAAAGGAAAAGAAATATCATTTGAAGTTCCTTGGATAATTGCATTCTTTATGTTGGAAGTCCAAATGGGGGTAAATTCATATACTTGTGGGGTTTTTTTGAAGGTTTTCCAAATTGCCTGAAAAATACATCAACCCTCTAAATAAGTTGGATCATAAGTGGCTAAATGTGGTATGAATTAGTCGGCATTACATTTTCATTTAAATGTTGAGACTCTCAGGCAAATATTACAATCCACTCCTTAGCCTAAGTCTTCTCAAAGTTCTATCTTTCCTGCTTTCCATCTTAAGGGCTACAAAGTCCATCTGCTTCCAAACAGTCTCCTTACTTCTGCAGGAGGAGAATTAAAATTAACAAATCAATGTGCTCACATGTATCCAAGGTGGTCAAAAATAATAATTACATTTTGTTTAATCATTATTTATTGAATAATTGTCTAGTAATGTTAATTTTGACATTCAAGATGCAGATGCAACCAATCACTATTTTATGCTGTGTATTCTTTTAAGTCAGGGACTCACCATGTTCCAGGGTAGCCTGCACTACTACCTTCACTAACATTTTGTGAAAAAAAATATGACATGTGAATGATTGTGTGTCCTATCCATATGCATATGAACACACATTCAGTTTGAATTCCTTCTTATTTTGGAGTTAATAGAATTTCTTCAGACAGTGGACATACTGCAAGGATTGAACAAATCTAATTTTTAGTATCATGAATGAGAGTCTGGGATCACTTGATAGGAAAAATATTTTTCAAAATAAAGTAAAAAGCTTAGTCATTGTCTTTTTAGAATTATGCTTTTTAGAAAAAATATTTTAACATATGGTTTTTGAAATGTATTCTACACAGATTATATGTGATACAAATCGAAGGAAAACCTGGCACATAGGAGATGTTATATATCAATTCAGTTAATAATAAGTAATCATGTCATCATATCAATCCTTGATAAAAAGGAAGCTACAGTAAATGAAATATGACCCCAATTCTAAGTGCTCATAGTTTTATAAAAGAACAAAGGTAATATCAATGTTCTATATAAGTAAATTGCTAAAATGTAATTTCATTACACTATATATGTATCAAGATGCATATGTATATATGTATGTATGTATGTATGTATGTATCTATCTATCTATCTATCTATCTCTCTATCTATCTATCTATTTATGATACCCCAGAAATTACTGGAGACATTTTGGAGTACTCTGACTACCTTTAAACCTAGGGTTTGACAGTTGTTAGTATAAGATCATAGGAATGTTTCTCGACCTTCCTGAGTCTTAGCGTGTATAAGTGGAAAATTAACTTCTTTGAGAATTACACGCTATAAATGTGTGAAAATACTTTGCATGTAATGGTCACTCAGCAAAGTCTGTGTCCTTCCTCCTGACCTTAGCACTGTGAAATATCTGGACCTTAGTCTAGCTATCTCCCACTAACTGAGTACAAGCAAGCAGACTCACACCCTCACTCTGGAACGTTGTTTCAGTGGGTGCACTCGCTGCTGCGCATCTGTGCCATCATCAGCGTCATCTCGGTTTGCATGAACACGCCCATGACCTTCGAGCACTATCCTCCTCTTCAGTATGTGACCTTCACTTTGGATACTTTATTGATGTTTCTCTACACAGCAGAGATGATAGCAAAAATGCACATCCGGGGAATCGTCAAGGTGAGTATTTCCATGTCATTTAAGTTCATAACCAAAGCACACTGACCATCCTGATAGGTTTGATGAGACTCTCACATTCTAGTAAAAGAACGCTCATTTCATTTGGATTGAAATCTTTTATAAAATTATAATTTTATTCTCTTTAAGTAGTTGCACAAAGGAGCTTTCCTTCAACAAGTGAGTTTATAAGTGCAATACATCTTGACTAATGTTACCCCCTTGAAATCTTTTTAAAATGACATTATTCCAGAAATTGATCGAAATTTTACATAAGAATATTTTTAAATTAGTTGCATCTTATAAGACACAAAGCCTTGGAAAATCTAGAAAGAAAATGGGTGGTCCAACCACAAGTGCCAAGAGGGGTTGAACCCACAGCCGGGCACAGGGGCTAGTCTACAGAAGGCATCTCTGTGTTTTTTGGTTTACAGAACACAAGATAAATGTTACGGGACAAAGTCAGAGTGTGATCATTTTCAAAAGGATCTCATTAACCTGAGGTGTTTTGATAATGTACACAGGAAAAGGCAAGGGCATAGGATAGATAGGAACATGCAAGTATAAAGAATAGTGTCAATTGATGCCATCAGTACAAAATAAATATATTTAAGATGCTACATAAAAGGAAAAGAAAGAAAGTATAAAAATGTCTACTATAGGACACTTTTTTTCTTTGTAAATCTAACTATCTACAGAGGTTAAAATATGTATATGATCCTATCACTAGAGTAATTCATTTAGGGAAACAGCACTTTAAAGCAATAACAATGTAGGCATTAGAGCTTCACAAATGACAGATCGTACTCAAAGACTGAGTCTTATTTACTGATTGTACATACATCTCCAGGTAGATTATCAGGGGGAAAGTAAGCCATCCAGTACATAGATTTTAAAAATGTAAGAAGATGATGAATGCTTACTGATGATTATTTATGGATTCCTGCCATTTCTTCTCTTTTTATATAATGCATTGTGCACTATATTTAACAGACAGTGATTGTAGCCAATGTATGACTGTGGTCATTATTTACTTTTTGTTATGGAACTTTTAAAGTTAACAAAAGTATATTCTAGTGGTAAGGAATCTCAAGATTCGTTTGTCCAGTTGAACATTTGATCAATTCTGTGTCCTTTTAAAGCAAAGCTGAGAATTCAAGTCATTTCAAAAATGAATCCATATTCATTCCTGAGTGATTAAGTTTGCTTCATTCTTTTACATAAACACCATTATTTTATCTAAAGGGTAATTCCTAATGTACACAATATTCAGTTCATGTTCATTTTAGTTCAAATACTACTCACAAATACTTCTCTTACAGTTGCTTTCTTTGAATCAAGATGCAAAAAGATTCGAATTATTATTTGGTTGTTACATTTAAAAGTTTCTTTAAATCTTAGTTCTAAACATTCTGAACATAGTTTTTCCATGTCGTTGATTCCTTGAGAAAAATTTGTCTTTTGTTTTGTGGAATAGTCCACGTTCTAGATTTGGATTTTTGTTTCTTGATAATGTTATATAATGGATTTGATGTTCATAGATTCATGTATATTAAAGATCAGTGTTTATGTGAAATCACAGGTATTATTTTCATTCTACCAGTTTTAACTATGTGTCATATAGGAATATATTCAGGATGTATCATATAAATTTTAAGTTTTTGCTATATATTTTTATTCTTTTTACCATTTGAATAAGATTTTATCATTATTATACTCTAAATTCATTCTTTCAAATAAAGGATGTTGATTTTTATACTAATATTATATCTGCTACTCTACAAAAACTTCTGAATTCTTGTGTTGTTTATATAGCAGTCTATCCACTAATTATTTTGGTAAGTCCAAGCCATATCACAAGAAACAAAGACAGTTTTGTCTTTTCTTTCAAATTCTTATGCCTGTAATTGCTTTTGCGTGTTTGATTGGATTAGCTAATTCAACTGATAAAATTGTAAATAATGTTGCAGATATGAGCATCTTTTCTAGGTTCCTGGTTTACCTAAAATAACCCTGATGCTTTTTGTTAGTTTTTTAAATTAAGCAATTGAAAGTATTTAGGACTGAAGTATTTATATGTTGTCACCTCAGGGAAGAAACTTCAATTCCAATTATTATTTTGTATCATAAATAGATTTTGAATTTGGACAGATGATTATTTTTCTCCTCTTGTAATAGAATAAATTGCTTAACATTGAGCTATTTTTATATTCCTGGAAGAATCCCTGATAGATCATGATATATTATTATTTTGATTTATTATGCTATTTCATTGTATTTATTTTTTATTTTGCTTTTTTAAGTTCTGTCCAAACTTTGTCAGGCTTTGATATTCCATTTCTCTCTATGTGTGTGTGTGTGTATACACACGCATGCACATCTATGCTCTAAAATAGTCTGTGAAGCTTTAGACTTTTCTAACTTTAAAAGTTTTTCAAACTCTATTACAAATGTAATAATAAAACAGCTTGATACTGGCACAACAATAGGCCTGAGGACCAATGGAATAGAATAGAATAGAATAGAATAGAATACCTATTGATATGGGAGCCAAATGTTTGATAATATTTGATTTGATAAGGAAGCCAAGACATAGTATGGAAGAAAGACAACCTCTTCAACAAATGGTGCTGACTGAATTAGCTATACGTATGCAGAAAAACTGATGTTAAATCGTTATATATCACCCTGCACCAAAATCAACTCCAAATGGATCTAAGACCTTAATGTAAGACCAGAGATCCTGAAAGTATTACAGGAAGGGATAGAGGAAACACTAGGGCTCCTTGGCACAAGTTAAAACTTCCTAAGTGAAGATCTAGAATCACAAGTCAAAGAAAGACTAGATAAATGGGACTGCATCAAACTGAAGAGTTTCTGTATGGCAAAGGACATAGCTAACAATGTAAATAGCCCACAGAATGGGAGAAAATCTTTACTAACAATGCATCAGACAAGGGACTCATATCTAAAAATATTCTCAGAGATCAAAAAATTAAACCTCCCATTCCTCAGAAAAACAATAGTCCAATTAATAAATGGGCTAAAGATTTAAAGAATGACTTCTCCAAAGAAGAAATAAGAATAGCCAATAGACATACTAAGAGATGTTTGACATCTTTGTCCATAAAAGAATGAAAATCAAAACAACATTGAGATTCCACCTCACCCCAGTTAGAATGGCCATTATCAAAAAAAAATAACAATAATAGATACTAGGGTGAGGATGTGGCCAAAAGGAATGCTACTACACTATTGGTGGAAATGTAAATTTGTTTAACCACTCTGAAAAGCAGTATGGAGGTTCCTCAAAAGACTAAACATAGAGCTTTCCAATGACCCAGCAATCCTACTTCTTGGCATCTATCTAATGGACCACAAACCACGCCACACTAAAGCTATCAGCATAACCATGTTCATTGCAGCATTCTTTACCATAGTCAAGATATGGAATCAACCTAGATATCCCTCATTGGATGAATGGATCCAGAAAATGTGATACACACACACACACACACACACACACACACACACACACACACTGGAATTCTATGCTTCCATCAAGAAGAATGACATTGTCCCATTTGTAAGGAAATGGAAAGACTTAGGAAAAAATTATATTAAGCAAAGTAAGCCAGACCCAAAGAAACACAGGCTGCATGGTTTTCCTCATTTGTAATAACTAGAATGTGCCCATAAATCTACAAATAGACCCAATGGGTAGTAAAAGACAAATAATTACACCTGGACATGATTATACAACAATCTAAATATCCACATAGTGAGAACAAAAGAGGATATTCTTAGGAGAGAATTGCAAGGGCTCAATAGCTATGTGCATAAGATCATATAAAGTGATTTTATTGAAATGAACTCCAAGAAACAGAAGTAAGACACTTTGTTACTATGCTATTTATGGTTCTTTTTTTTTCTTCTTTCTTTTTCTCTTTGGTTTATTTCCTTTTGTTGCTATATTTGATTTATGTAAACTTTTGTCTTGTATATAAGTTCATCTGATTTGGGGAGGGGGAGGAGAAGCACAGAAACAATGGGACAAAGGTGAATTAATTCAACAGTGAAACCCACTAGACATTATGTTGGACCTGAACTATACAACTTTAGGGGGAAGGAAGTTGGGAGGGAAAAAACTAGGAGAGAATGAGAGAGATGACATTGTTCAAAAGGATATGTATTCATTACCTGACTCATGTAACTGTAACTTCTCTGTGCATCACCTTTACAATCATTTTAAAAAAAAAAAAAGCCAGGCGCTGGTGGCTCACACCTGTAATCCTAGCTATTCAGGAGGCTGAGATCTGAGGATCACAGTTCAAAGCCAGCCCAGGGAACGAAAGTGATTTATCTCCTATACACCACTATTAAAAACAGGAAGTGGTGCTGTGGCTCAAGTGGTAGAGCACTCGCCTTGAGCTGAAGAGCTGAAGGACAGGGCCCAAGCCCAGAGTTCAAGCCCCACAACCAACAAAATAAAAAAAAAGTTAAAGTTTTAACATGAATTTCCTAGGAAACCATTTGTCCTAAAGCTTTGTTGGTGGAATCCTTTACAATATGTCCCAGTTCTTCTATGGAACTCCATCTGTTGAGACCTGCTTGATTTATTGGTCTGTTTGGTGAAATATATTTTCTTGGGAAATCATTATAGTGACCATTTTATTCTCCCTTTCTAAGGTTCCCATTCAATATTCCACTAATATGTACTAGTAATTTCTCTGTTTTGGAATCCTGTTGGCTCGTGGGAGAGGCGAGCACATGGACTCAAAGAATGGATTTCAGGATCATATTTACAATGTCTAGGTCTTCTACAAAAGTTGTCTCAACAGTTTTTCCAAGCATCAGGTTTATATGAGCATCACTTCATCGAGTGTAGCTGTCTGAGGAGGCTAACTTGGAAAGTTAATCTTGAGAGAATACTGACACATCTTTCTGCTGGTTAGTCCTAGGTCTGTTCCATGCTATGTGGTCCACCAGAAACACGAAGGACCCTGTCTTATGTATATATTGCTCCCAGAGCCACAGCAGGCTTTGCCAATGAAGTTAATAATCTGCACCGTCTAGGTGTAGCACTGTGTGATTCTAATTGTCATGTATTGACTTTAAAAAAAAAAAGATTGCAACTCGAGTAAAACAAATGTATGACATTTTCCTAGAATAAAACTTTTGTTTTGTAGATGTTTAACCAATTAAGACTTGGGTTCCGCATCACAAAGAGGACAGCAGGCACCACTCAGTCACAGCTAAGGATGAAAAGCATAGAGGAGGCGGGTGTGATACATAAATTACAGATCCACCACAGTGAGCACAGCACTGAATGAACAGGAGTCTTAATCACTTAACTACTACAAGTTGAATCAATAGTTTAAAAAGAAAAACTTGGTTTATGCCCAAGTTTATTTTAAAATGCTATCCATTAGCTATTTCTACTATTTCCCCACGTTTTTATTAATATCAATTTTCATATAAGACGGTCACGTTCCCATATGTCCATATTTGCATACAATGTATCCTTGTTCAGAGTAACCCAATCCCCAATCACTTCTCTTCATTCTCTCCTCCCACCTTCCCAAATCAATCATGGGTTTCACTGTTCCATGGTCACACATTAACACAGGGCACTTTGGCTATAATCACCCTCCTTTAACTTCTCCATTTGCCTTCTTCTTATCACACCAATATGCACACACTGGACAGGACATGTTTTATGTTCCAGTGTATTCTAGTTATTCAAAGGAGTTCATTGTTGCATTTCTCCCACACGTATATAGAACTTAGATCAGAACTTTTAAAATACCTTTCAACAGTTGGATAAGGTACTCACTGAAAGTGAAAAGTATCTTTCTTGTTTTTTTGTCTGTAATAATGAAAAATTGAAAAATCACATATGGTTTTTCTACTTTCCTTTCAGGAATGATTAGCATAAGCATAAACGTAACACCAGCTTTCATTGCTAACATCATTTTGAAGTAGTCAATATAATTCATCTCTCATTAAAACTTGTATTCAGTATTTAAGTGCTAGTTAAGGCTTTAGCTCCATGAGGTCTGACTATCCTTAGCAAAGCATTGTCTGTCATTTCTCTGACTCATCATCAAACCCCTCTGGTTGTTAGACTGGAGATGCCTCAGATCATTTTAGTAATGTGACACCCAACTCATAATTTTATTACACCATACACACATTCTCTTCCAAATACACATACCCATATAGACACAGAACAAAGAGTAATTAGGTTTGACATTATATCATTGTCTTTACAATATAAACACGGATCGGGCTTAGAGTTAGCAAAATAGCACATAAAATTTATGTTGCTAATTTAAGTTGTATTGTTTTGCAGTTTTGCATTTGTTAATCTGTTTTGTATTATTTTATAGTTATATGGACTGCACGGACATAGTATAAGGACTTAAATTGCTTCATAATAAAACCAGATCTGTACCTGTGTGTGTGTGTGTGTGTGTGTGTGTACTAGTACTGGAGTTTGAACTCAGTGCTCCTGTGCTCTCCTTTAGCTTTTTCCCTCAAGGCTGGCACTCTACCACTTGCACCATAGTCCACAGGAATCTTATAGACCTCCCTGGATGGGCTGTCTTCTTCCTGAGTAGCTAGGATTATAGACATGAGCTACCACTGGTGCTAGTTGTCTTTAAAACTTTTTGCTACAGGCATACGTTTCTTTCGAAAGATTGCTCATTTTAAATATGTCTCCTGTTTTCAGGATTCTGTCAGTTCCTACCCACTAATCATTAGCTACTAATGTCTCCCCCTCTAATTCTTCTTAGTGGAAGCAAATTGCTCACCAGATCTTCAGTATAATACTATAATATGAATTTATATTCTTGTAGAGCTTCCATGTATTCCAGACTGAGAATTCTTCCAACAATGACAATTGTCTATTTTTCATCTGCCAGTAGGCCAAGGTAAAAGTAACAAGTGTCCTTTGAACACTGTTGAAATAATGAATAATAACTCTCATAAGACACAGAGGCAGACTCTGGGAAGATAGGACAACAAATCAAGCACTCACATATAATTTTGAGAGCACAAAATATATCCTCATCAAGGTATTGTTTTCTCTGCCAGCTAAATACTTGAAAGACATTTTTAGTTATTTTCTTATACTGGATAATTGATTGACAGCCTCCAACTGCTTACCTTTGAATAACTAATCTCTCCACTGGCAGCATGTTCATTTCTTCCATAGCTCAGGTGCGGCTCATCCTCCATTTCTGTTGGTACAATAAACAAGTCAAAATCTGTGAAGTATGTGTCAGGTTCTGGTTACAAATTTTGAGAGGCACACAAAATGGAATCCAGGGTTATATCTCATAATGCCAGATATCAAAATCAGTGTTGCATTTATTTTAAAAATTAAATACATTCAACCTGCCATATATTGATAATAATATAGTAATTTCATTCCTACAGATTCAATTTAACTTCAATTTCCCTACAATGCAGAATCACGCAAAGCTTGTCACCTCTTCTCTCTTCAGCTCACCCAGGAGCCCAAGTTTTCCCTTCTTTGCATACACACCATAGGGTGGCCATGACATTTACAGAAATAGCCTCTTATTCTTCCGTGCCTTCCAATCAGCTTCCAAACTATCTCTGTGTCAGTGTTTTCATAACCATGAGTCACCAAGTTTGGTTGATTGTCTTGCCTCTGATAAGATACTTTGCCCATTCACTTTGAGAGCTAGCAGTATTCCTCTAATCATTCTATAGAACTGATCTGTTCATTTTTCCTACCATGTCTACAGGTTTGTTATGAGTTAGTATGTCTATGTGTTACCTGGCTTTGTTTACATCTGTTTCTCAACAAAATTTGTGGTAGTAGTTGTTTTTGGTGTTGATTGTGACAGTGGTGGTAGTGGTGGTGATGTGTCTATTAGGCATTCATTATCTTTTATAAAACATGCTAAGCTTATATCTCATAGCTGGATCTGAGATATGAAGATACCTGAGACAAATTCCACCATATATTTTACCACCTGTTAGATCTGTGAACAAATTATTACTAGGAGCATTTCAAGGAAATATGTAGTTAATTTATTACGTTTTATTAAGCATGGGAAACTATGGGAATTATTTTCCAAAGTATCCAGCAACACACTTTATATGTTACTTAAAAATCTCATACTCTCTTCTATTTTTACTTCTCTGCAGGTTCTGAGGTAGGAATGATGGGTGTCTAAGTTGAAAACTGAGTTTCATGGATGAGGACAGGTCTAGAAGCCAGCTAAAACAGTTTGTGAAGGTTTCTAAATCTAACCTAGAGAAGCTCCCTCATTTGTTATTTCAAAGGAGATTTCTAACATTCTTTTTTTTATTAAAATGTTCATTCTAGCATCAGAATAGAGTTCCTACTAGAAAACAAAGGGACATCATCTTTGTCTTCCTTTTACATTTGAAATCCAAATTAAATTCAAGTCCATATTTTTTTCTTTGCAAAGTAAGGCCAGTTTCTTCCTTACTTTCATATTATTTGAAGTAAGTTCCTGGCTAATTTTCCTTCTGGTGCTGGTTCATCAAGCAGTTTTCAAGGCCTCCGTGTTGATGGTTGCATGTTCTTACCTTGTAGGAAGAGTGCTAGTTTAGGATTCAAAAAGCCTAGTAAGAGTGATCTCTGTTCCTTAAGGGGTAGAGTTGGTGTGGCTAAGAGAATAAATAGTGGGATTTTCCTTTTGCCTGCACGTAACATTTTATACTTACAGTTACGAAGTTTCTCATAGGTCATAATTAATTCTCTTGTAAGTGAAATCATTTAAAAGTAGTACACTTGAAAGTCCATTCTCTTATGACACAAAAATTATACTTTTCTTTTTTACTTAACTCAACTATTTTCTTCCATAGAATTTTTAAAAATTATTATTCATTTTGCCAGATAATGTATGTCACTTTTCTCTTTAGGGAGATAGCTCCTATGTGAAAGACCGCTGGTGTGTTTTCGATGGATTTATGGTCTTTTGCCTGTGGGTTTCATTGGTGTTACAGGTATGTAAAAATTTTATATCACAGGGGATGTTTTCCAAAACAAACATTATCTTGCTTTGAAAGAGAAACATTCCTTTGAGATTTTAGATTTTTATATTAAAGACTAATACATATAACAAATGTGTGTGAATCCACACAGAATTTAGATAGATAAATAGATGATAGATAGATAGATAGATAGATAGATAGATAGATAGATAGATAGATAGATAGATAGAAAGAAAAGTCTAATTGTAACATTTCAACTACTATTGACAACATTTACAAACTATTCCTTAGAAATGAAAATCAGTGCTTAACCAGGTTATTGATTGGCCCTGATCAGTTGATTAGCCAGGTTAATACTAGCTATTCAGGAGGCTGAGATCTGAGGATAGAGGTTTGAAGTCATCCAGAGCAGATGTATCTAAGACTTTTATCACCAACTAACCAGCAAAAAGCTCTAAGTGGAGCTGTGGCTCAGGTGGTAGAGTACCAACCTTGAGAGCATGAATACCTGAATTCAACCCCCAAAAGCAGCACCAAAAAAAGAAAGAAAATCTATGCTTATGAAATCAATAATATAATGCAGTTATTGAAATAAAGAAAGCGATATAGACTGAGAACTCTCTATTTGTAAAATTAAAGATTAAATTTAAAACTTTAAATTCTAGTCTTTCCTATGAAGAAATACTTACTTTAAATAGCTAATAAATTAATATAGATATACATAGGTCAATATAAAATTCTACAGTGCAAATACTTCACTACAAGGAACAAAAATATATGAAAAATGTCACATGAAGGACTACATTCAAGAATAGTATAATTCCACATGTTCTTTCTTGCTTCTGGATCTGTTGGCTAAGATCAAGTTCTATATATTTTCTCAGCTAAGATTTTATATTTAATATTCACTGGAAAACAAAAGTTCTTTTAATCTGATTAGCTTTGATTTTGATTTCATTTGATTCTGGTAATGAAATACAACCTGAGAGCTTCCTGTTTAACAAAATCTCAAGTTAGCAATTATTGCTGACTGCAGCTAGAAGGCTGAAGGCCAGATCTCTAGAGGTTACTCATCTAGTCTTTGTTTCAAAAATTCAGAGTAAAAACAATTCTCAGTTCATCTTGCTAATACATTGCAGTGTTTATTGATAAACTGTCTTCCTTTCCTTATTTTTATAAGGATTAGCTCTGTGGCAGTCTAATTTTATTTAATGCATTAATCTGCCCATTTTCATTTGATAGCTGTTGTGTGTTAACATTTTCTAATTATTATTTTTCTTCTGTTAAAAAGTAATAAAATTAGCCAGGAATGTTGACTCACCTTGTAAGCCTAGCCCTGTAAGCTGTGGGTCTGGTGATTACGTTTCAAAGTCATCCAAAGCAGGAAAGGCTGTGATACTCTTATCTCCAATTAATCACCAAGAAGCTAGAAGTTGAGCTTAAGGAATAGAGCAAACAACAAAACCTCAGGGCCAGCACCTAGGCCCTGAGTTCAAGCCCCAGGACCTGTACATACACAAAAACACATAGACACAGACACAGATACACACACACACACACACACACACACACACACACACACACACACACACAGAGTTAATTTCTTTTCTCATACTTCTAGTAATATTTTAAAAATTCCTTCATTCTTTTCTAGATATTTACACATGTCTATCGAAGAACATTATTCATGAGAAACATTTATCACCTTATTCTGAATTCTAAATAGGCATCTTTCATGAAAACTATGCCTTATGAATTAGGACACAAACAAGAAGCATGGCATTTTCAGTAGGTTGTGTACTTGTTTGTTGTATGAAAGCTACTGCTTCAAAATGTCCTCAGAAGCAAAATGGATTTTGAACTGGGCATGAGAGTTGATGCCTATAATCTTGGCAACTTGGAAGCCTGCGACTGGGCAGGTCAGAGGTTTGGACAGCCCAGACAAAAAGTTCATTTCAAGGGCAAAAAGGCTGTGTGTGACATCCACAGCTATGTCATCCCAGCAGGATGCCCGAGTAGGACAAACTCCAGGCCTACCTTCCCCAAAATGGAGATTGCTTTAAAGGGCAGATGGTGTGGCCCAAGAGGTAGAGTGCTGGCGGAGTGAGGGTAGAAGGTCTAGGTTCAAACCCCAAACTACACAGAAAGAAAAAAAGAAAATTGATTTTGGTGGCAAATAATATTGGGATGGGGGTGAGTAAAAGCTACAGTTCCCACTTTTACCTGAGCATTCTATTACTACAGCCTCGTGTATCCTCTCTTCCCTGACAGGTGTTTGAAATCGCTGACAGAGTGGATCAGATGTCACCCTGGGGTATGCTGCGAATCCCACGGCCACTCATCATGATCCGGGCCTTCCGGATTTATTTCCGATTTGAACTGCCAAGGACCAGAATTACAAATATTTTAAAGTAGGCACAGTTTGTTTCATAAATTAAGGAAGAAAGTTTGTTAATTTTTTTGAAATGTTATGTATTTTACTTCTTTTTTTTTAAACCTAGGCGATCAGGAGAACAAATATGGAGTGTTTCAATATTCCTACTTTTCTTTCTACTTCTTTATGGAATTTTAGGAGTTCAGATGTTTGGGACATTTACCTATCACTGCGTAGTGAATGACACAAAACCAGGGTAAGTTTATCTATTGACTGCATTCTAGTAATTAACAAGAGTTTTACTGTGACTTTTGTTCAAAAGACTTTGTTACCAGAGTGCTTTAAAAATGTCTCTGAAGGCTAGGCTCCATGTTCTTTGATTTCTCAGCATAATTTTATCCATTTTCAAAGGCCAAATGTTGCAGATAAGCCATCTTGAAAATTACAAATGTCGAAGTGTATATTTAGAAACCTTCCTCGAAGTGGGAGAGAACAAGTGTGTTAACAATGCCAATGAAAGTCTTTCTGGTGTTAGAGTGGGCAACAGGTTAAGAAAGACCTTGATTTTTATAAAAACTGTATTATCCTTTCCCGCAGCAATGCCCTCAACCCATTATTTTATAACATCATTTCTAGATAAAACACTATTGACTATTGCCTTTCTGAGTTTTATTTCTTCCCTTAAAAGATCTCACTACTTCCATTAAAGACAGTTTGGGGGGACCGACATTTCTTTTTCCTGAGGAAAGATTTTTTTCCCAAATATGAGTTAAATATACTTAAGTAAAAGTTTTCTTGTTCTGCTAGGTTTTGAAATTTCATTGGTACCAGTGCTAGCATAATATTAATAAAAATAGCTCAGTTGTCCTTTTAATATCTCTAAAACCCAAGAGAATAAGCAATTTTTAAATTTGTGATATTATTAATAATTTGGATTTTTCTTTCCTTCTTGTATTGCATTAGTTGTATTCATCCACACACATCTTTTTGTGGACTACTTAATTTTCTCTGCCATCTGTTTTCTATGCTGGTTACTTACCTTCACTCTTTCTTTCTGCTTTGTATTTCCTTCTTTTTTAATTCACACAATGAAAATATGTCAATGTCTTTAAATATTTCTTTTGTTACATAAATGTTAAGGACATAATTTTCCTCCTAGGAACTGCTTTAAGTTGCATCTCCAACTTTTAATATGTTTATTTTATTTTATTTTTCTCTAATTCTACTCATGGGTATTTCTTTGACCTGTAAATTATTTAGAAGGATGGATTTGGAGAGGGAGGTGTGTGTGTGTGTGTGTGTGTGTGTGTGTGTGTTCATGTGTGTTGCTGGACATTATACCTGTGGCCTCATGAATGTTAGGTAAGTGCTCTATTGGTGAGCTACATCCCTAGCCCCAAAAGATGAAATTTTGCAAAGTGTTATTATTGGTATGTAATTTTATTCTATTATGGCCAGACCATAAGCTCTGTAAAATTTTAACTACTTGAAATCAGTTAATCATTTTAAGTACTAGCATTTGGTCTAAGCTCATGGCAATTCCATGAGACTTTGAAAAGTTTTTGTGTCATAAATACAATCTTAGTCAATTTTCCTTAGCTGAAGGTATTTATACTATTTTTATTTATTTGTTTTAAAATTTTGGTTGGTCTGTCAGTTATTGAGACTGAATTGTAACCTTTTCCAAATAGTTCAAAAACATTCCATGTGTTTTTTAGTTCTACCCACTTTTGCTTTATATGAAATTTACATCTCCAATTAGGTGCATGAACACAAAATGTCATTGTGTCTTTCTGATGAGCTGACCTTTTTATCTTTGGAAATTTGAAACATACCGAATTCAAGATACATGGTAGATCAAGAACTTGATCTTTCAAAATTCTCTTTAACAATAACAATTAGATTTTATAACTGTAATTTATTTTCAACCAGCTTTTATTTTATTAACCAATTGATATCTCCTCACATATACTTGAAATTCAACATACTAATATGTATTCCTGGGTTGACAATGAAAGAAAATGCATTAATAAGTTCCTATTTAGTATGAACCATTTGATTTTGAGCCCAGCCTGATAGTAAGAGAATTAAACACACTGTTGAGATAAAATGAAGAGGAGACCCAGCTGTAGTGCAGTTGGCACTGTTTATCAGGTGCTTTTTAAAATTATTTTATTGTAAAGATGCTGTACAGAGCAGTAACAGTTACATGAGTAAGGTAATGAGTACATTTCTTGTCAAACAATGTTACCCACTCCTTTGTTTTTCTCCCACTACCTTTTCCATTCCATCACCAAACTCTTGAAATTTGAGGAGTTTTTTTTTTTTTTAATTAGGGAAATGATCCAGTGTTCACCAATTTATTCTGCCTTTCCTGGCAGTCTCTGAAATGTAGAATTCAGGATAGGAAACAACTAGAATTCCTGTGTACCATAGATAAAGATAGAAAGTGTTGCATCTGCTTCAATTAACAGCTTTGCTTTTTAAAAAATTGAGTAGTCATATCTCTTATTCATTCCACTCCAGATTAGTCAGGAAAAATGAAAAGTATGTTACTATACAACTGGGAATGTCACATTTACACATGGATGTTCATGCCAACTTTATTTTTAATGATTCAAACTGATGACAGCTCCCGGGGTAGGGTGTCACGGGACTCCTTTCCCAAATCTTTGTCTAACTGTGAGTCTGTTCATCCGGTCTTTGTGCTTCATGGATCCATCTGACCATCTTTTGATGCGAGAACTCTTAAATTTACAATGTGGATTTACACATGGGGTCTCCTGCTCCATTCCCACCACCCATCTTCTAGCTCTTGTCTTCCTTTTCCACTCATGCAGGCCCCTCACTCTCCTGAGGAAGTATTTGTGAATTTATTTCAGTCTAAAATACACAGTTTTAATACACAGAGTCAGTTGTTTGCACTGGACGTCAGTGTAGTACATTTTTCCAAAAACAATATTCAGGTGCTCACGGCTTTTCCTTTACCTTTTCTTGTTTTCCTGTGAGGACTTTGAGAATGCATATGGAAAAGGCTCCAGGGGAGGATACTGTGTTGAGCTCATCTCCTCATCTCCAGTACCTGGTATCTTAGCGCAGAATTAGCATTTAGTAACCATGGTTCACAGTCATGGTTGATAACATATTTTATCTAGACAGATACTAATCTCACGGCAAATCAATAAAGAAATGAACTTTTTCATGATATTTCCTTTTATTTAAGATCATGAAAATGAACTTAGAGAGTTGTAATAATGAATAAAATAGAATAGACGTGTTTAAGGAGAAGCGTGAAGGAAATTTTCTTGTTAAGTTTTAAAAAATATTTTAAGTATCTTTAATTAGTTAAAGATACTTTTGCAAAGTAAGTGTGAATACATCTTGCTTCATGTGACCCCTTTCAACATTCCCCCCACCTTCCAACCTGCCCCTTAAAAAAAAGGGAAAATGAGTAAAGTAAGTCAATAAAGTAAGGGAAATAAAAGTGAGAAAATAGAAAAGGAAATAGTCATAGAAGATAAAAGCAGTAAAATTGTACAAATTCAGTATAAGAAAACTAGAGAGCAGTAAGCAAGGGAGCGGGTTTTACAGCTGAGGGAATAGAAGAACTCAGAGAAGAAAATCTATAGGTAGATTGTCATTTGTTTCTTTCAAGGGATGTCAGAGATCAGATATGTCTAGCTTATTCTGTGAATGAATATGAAAATGAACAAAGCTGTTGTGTATGTGGGAGGCCATAAGTATGGAGAGTAAGAAACAGGAGGCCTCAGAAGGAGAATGGTACCATTGGAGAACTGTGATGACCTCAGATGCTGATTGACAAGAGCACATTTTATGAAAGCAAGTCAGAACGTAAGACACACAGAACTGGTGCATACAGCTGGGAGATGATAAAGGCACCATGCATTAAATTTTAGCACAGATATTAAATTACAAAGGCAAGTAAAACACCAGACTGAATGTAACATTGCATAAATGTATAAATTGAGTCTTCCAAAGCCATAGTCCTTCAGACAAATCACCAGCTACCTGTGGGCAGCTCTATGCTACACTCAGTTTTCAAAACTGAATAACATTGAGAAAGATGTTGCAAGACCTCTTACATTCTAACCGTCAGCTCCAGCTCATTACATTATCCTAAAAATAGACTTCATGATGAGCAATTCCATACTGCTGACAGAAGGTTCTGGAGACATCTCCAAGGTGGGATGTCTACATTTTCTCTTTCTCAAAGAGAGAAATCTGCCAGCTGCATGACCTTCACACCTTTGTCTTTACATATGACACTTAACTTACTATGTAAGCAGAAAATACCCTAACTAGCCACATGGTACCTCATAATCACAGTTTTCATGGGTTTGGCGACAGATTTCAAGAGACAGTTTTATACCTAATTTCTTTTCTTTTCCAGCTCAATGTTAGTGAGTTTTCAAGTCCCACGCCTAAGCAGAAAAACTGTCAACACCATTTCACCATTAGTTCTAGCCTAGACACCAATTTAATTTTATTTTTAGAGATTCAAAAACTGTCCACACTCAAAATAAAATAGAGAAAATCTCAATCTGTTAAGAACTCTCAACTTCCTTTGTTTCCTTTTGTGGCTCCTTAAATCCTAATTTTGTAACCCCATGAATGAACCTGGAGGGAATTATGTGAATGGAAAAAGCCAGGCACAGAAAGATACTACTGTAGATGTGGAATGGAAACATATTGATTCACGGAAGTAACAAATAGAATGGTGGTTATCAGAATCCAGAGGTTGGCAGAAGTGGTAAGGGAAGGAAGAGATTCAGCTAGACAAGAAAATACATTTGGGGATCTCTTAGATAGCAGAGCAACTATAGCAAATCATAACATATTCTACAATTCAGATTAACAAAGAGAGCTGGGCACCTGCTGAATGGTATGGTGCACACCTGTAATCCTAGCAACTCAGGCTGAGATCTGACAATTGTGATTTGAAGCCAATTAACCATCAAAAAGAACAGAAAGTTGTGGCTCAAATGCCAGTCTTCAGAAAAAATAAAAGCTAAGGAACAATGCCCAAACCCCGAGTTCAAGCCCTGATACTGGCACACCACACACACACACACACACACACACACACACACACACACACACACACACACCTATTGCAAATGTACCAACACAAAAAGTTAAGTCATTTAGATGTTGGTTATATTAATTAGCCTTATTTAATCATTCTATATTGTATTCAATTGCAAGATACCACATCTTGCTCCAAAAGTGTAATTC